GCATCGGCAGGCGGACTCCCAACCACTGCGCCACCAGGGAAGCCCCATTGTGATTTCTTAACTCTGTTCAACACTGTTGATGACCCCTGTTGCTAACTGCCCCTTCCCTCGCTTTTGTGACCTTGACTTGTCCGATTATTTATTAACTGTGGAGAGTGTGTGTCCATCATCTGATGGTTTATTTACCCCCTTCACTATTGCAGCTGTTTTCCCTCCCAACCCCTGCCCAAAGAGAACATGGGGGTTTTGAATCCCTTCCAGTTACATAGTGCTCTTATCCGTAAGCTGTCACTTCTGCATTGGACCTGCCGTCAAACCACCTACTAGACATTTGTAATACATTTCCACCTACCCCTTGAATTCCTCTCACCTAATGGTGAATTCATGAGCTCCCTGCCCTTATAACCTACTCCTTCCCCCTCCCCGCCCGGACCCCAACAAATTTTATCTAGTGAGTCCGTCTTGAAATCCGGTGAGATGCACATTCACTCAGATGCCCGATCCTTTCCTAACTTCCTCAGATACCTCTTGATTTTGCTTCTTATTTTTTATTCCCACCACTAAGACCTAGTTTACACCCTACAGACATTTTTGGTCTAAACTTCTCTCTGCCTTTCATTTTTCCTCTTCAGTTTTTTTAAGCACTTAGTTATCAGGTTAAGTTTCCTACTAAACTAGTTTTTTTTTTTTTTTTTTTTTTCTTCCTCCCTGCCCTATTCTTTTAGTCACATGTTTCTTCATTAATCCACATATTTATTCATTATTTCATGCATTCAACAAATATTAAGTGCCTAGTCAGTGCCATTAAGGAAAATATAAATGTGAATGGTCTAGTGAGGAAGACAGACATTAAACAGATACCTAGAAAATAGGTGAATTACACAGCGATAAATGCTCCAAAGTCGCCTCCCCGCACACCTCCCTCTGCAGTGAGGGCTTTCGCTAAAGGGAGTTGACAGAGGGAGGGACCTGACGCTGTCATCATGCATAGCATTTCCACACGTGCACTTGAGGCTGTTCAGAGTATTTCAGGTGGTGGGAGGAGACCAGCAAAGGAAGGAAGTGCCCGGCACCTTTGGGAAATGTTGAGCAATGCAGCGCAGCGTGGCTGTGGGGTGCCTGCAGGGGAGGCGTGGAGGTGCGGTAATATCAACGGACAGCAGGAGGTGCTGTGTCCGATATGCCACTAAGCATTTTACAGACAGATCCCCACTCTCACCAAAAGGTATGTAGTGTTAACCATTTTTCAGAGGAAGAATCTGAGGCTCAAAAAGGCTCATTATCTTGGACCATGGCGTACCCTGAGCTCGGGCTGTTATTGGGCCAATATGGAGCCATAGCACCCCGTGTTCATAGAACACATGGATCTTTCCAGGATACCTTCCCTCACCATCCCTGTATGGGGTTCGAGCTCTGCAGGTGCTATCTCTATGATACTGAATCTGTACTCCGTAAATCAGGGAACATTCATCCTTGCATTTTCTCAGAGTTCTTAGTACTTTGCCTTGCTGTAGGTAGGTACTCTATAAACAGCTGTTGCTAACATCTTTCCATCACCCCTCACACAACAGGTTTACATTAGAACCATTTGACAGGTGCCTTAACTGAAAACAATCACCAGGGCACATGACTGCCATCTGAGTTTTGTGCAGTTTCCTCATGGCCCTTCTGTCCCCTTTATAGGGCTTGCTTATATGTACACACCCCACCAGGAAGTATATCAGTAATGCTGTGTAACGACAACAAAAATTGGAGATTGACAAAGTAGCTCAGGTCACTGAGATATAGCAATCACTACCTATGTCCACTTTATCCTGTGGTTAGGTCTGCCTTTTGAAACTTCAGAGGAGATTTTGAAACTCAAGGTATTAAATAACAGCTTCTAGAAAAGACTTACTCGGTTTGAACAACCTGAAATATTAATTATTGGGGGACTTGGTAGCAAGATAGATTGGCAGAGTATGCAAATGTATATTTCTGATAGAATGTTATAAAAAAAAAAAAGGAACCAGTGCAAGAAGTGGTGCCTTGAATGCAGGCAGGTGAGAGAAAGACAGAATGACAAAAAGAGACTGAGAGAACAGTGACAGAAACTGAGAAGAAACAGGCTCTTACTTCAAGGCTAAAGAAGCAAAATGCTACTTTGTGCAGAGTACACACGTGGCGTGCTCCAAATTGAACATTGTCGTTCTCCAGGTCACAAGGACTTTGCTCTTTTTTGCAGCCGTTACTAATTTATGTGCACACAGTGCAGTTTGTTATCCCCTGGGACAAAACTGTCCTCACGTGAGCTCCTTAGGGATAGATACTGTTAGGGAGAGTAAGTACCTCGCATGGGCAGACATGTACAAATGGTAAGAAAAGGAGATGAACTGAAACATAGAGCTAGGAATTTCACTAAGAAAGTGGAAGAGTATAGGATCCGAGAGAGAAATTTAGATAGAAAAATTCAAAACCAGGCATAAGAGAGGACACATCCTGGACTATTTAACTCTGGCTAAAGAATGTGTTTAGCGGTGTGTATGTTTTTGTGATGCTGTGACTAAGTAATTTCCTCTCCCATGTGGGAAAAATAGTGCTTGAATTCACTGTGTCTGTGGGGCAGGTGTGGGGAGGTGGTCCAGAAGAGGAAGGTAGTGTCAGAACGTGTTTGCATTTCCAGCTATTTTCCTCACACCTAATGAGACCCATGCTGTCTGTCGTTTTCCGTGTGGAAAGAAATATACATGTGTCTTACACAGTCATATTGGAAGTAAATGGAACTTTTTTTTTTCAATAAAAGTACTTGAGGATCCTCTTTTTTTCTAAATACAAAATGTTTAATGATGTTTAATGTATGCAGAAGACTGAGCTTGCCAAGAAATAACATTTTCCATAAGGAAAAATTTTAACTAGATAGTATATAATAGGATGTGAAATTAATACCATGTTAAATTTTAAACAATCAAGAGTCAAAACTTACTCTGTAAGGTACGCCCACATCAACTGCTTCTATTAAGACTTCAGGTCAGTTGACACTTTTTTTTTTTTTTACTTTAGCAAGTTCCAAACTGGAAAAACAAGGGTGCTGCCAGTGGAGGTTGAGGTGAACTGAAAGGTGGGCGGGATGCCACCACCGCACGAGCCAGCATGGAGATGCTGTGGTCAGCGCATGTCATGTCCATGAACCCCATCCTTTAAACAGGGGTCTCAGAATGCATTTTCTGTTTTTCAGGATGAATCTTCAAGTCATGAGTATAACCAGCGCACAATCCTTCTCTATGGAGTGGGCAAAGAGCGTGAAGAAGCCAGGCATCAGTTGAAGAAAATTACCAAAGATATTTTGAAAATCCTAAATAAGAAGAGCACCACAGAGACCGGGGGTAAAGAGCCCTCATGCGCTTGCCCCCATTGTGCTGTCGTTTGTCTTCCCCTCAGCACGGTCTTTATCGAAGTCGCACATGGCACTGTCAGCACAGGGTTTCCTCCCCCGAATGACTGTCACATTGAAATATGAATAAGCACATTGAAATGTTAAGGCCTTGGTCCCATTTATAGTAATGCTTGCATGAACATAGCACCCTCTCTAGATTGATAGAGGTGATTTCATTTGCTCCTCTTTTTTTTTCGTATTTCCCAAATTTTCCACAGTAGTCATACGTAAAGTATTGAGGAAGGAGTTGGAAAACCCTTAGGCTGGAAGAGGTCCATTCCCGCAGTTGCATCCTTTTTCAAGCTTATAGCTGGCTCTGGGTACTCATATTTACATGATAGTTAAAAATCAGGACATAGTAGTGGCTGATCGTTTCTTACATTATTCAGAAGAATAATTGCAGTAGGTAGTGGAGGCTACCCACGTCTCCAAACGATTTCAAGTAAAACGGAAACTGGGTCTTTACTCCACAATGCCTCTACTTGGGATGCTGTGTCACCAAGCTTTTTACGAAGCTCTTACAGTGAAGTTATTATGCCTTTGTATTACGTCACCATATAACATAATTGGAACTTTGTAATTATCCACTTCACATGTGCCTAATTACTCTTCAGAGTTCGTTTATTTTATTAGACAGTCATATGATTTAAAGTGTGCTGTCATTATGTATACTCCACTACCACCACTGGTATTTGTCTCTCTGTTACTTAAATAATATGAGGGGGAAAAAAAGTTTGGATCTTCCCTGTGCGAACAGCACGCTTCCTACACATGGCATAAACCACCTCTAGAAACCCTGCTTTCTTGTTCAGTACAAAATAAATACTGTTTTACGAACCTCTCCACAGGGGATCCAGTCTTTAGGACTTTAACTGGATGAATTACTAGAGCTTGCCCACACTAGATCTTTCCCACAGAAAAGGACAGATATAACTATTGCAAATATCTCTCTTTCCTCTCCATCAGTAAGGGTGCAGATGCAGAAACAAGGTACGGGGGCAGGGAGAAGTGTTTTTAGTCTGAATGTGTGTTTTGGGTGTCTGACGTCTTAGAACAGTGGGAAGGCTACCTTCGTGTTATTTGCATCACATTCCCTAACTCACTTCTGTGGCCTCTTAAAGAGTTAGTGCTACACAGGCGCCATGAGGTTGTGGAAGGGAAATGAAACACTGTTGTCATTATTGAGATTGGGGAGGGGTGAAGAACTGCTCTAAAAAAACTGTTGATCTGTTGTTTTGCTGTTTTCTCTGTTAGAGAAAAGAGGAAATGGGCTGAATCCGAAAGCCCTGCAGCTAGCTAGCAAAGTATATTTGAAGCTACTTTTTGTATATTTGGGAATGGGATGGACACTGTGTCCTTTAGAAGGTCCAGTAATATGGGCTTTTACCTAAATTACTTTTAGAGAGTCTTTTCAGGTCCTGTGGAATGTTTGGTTTGGGGACGCTGAGAGGGGTGGGAAGGGGAAGGAAGCAACACGGTATCCTTTTCTGCTGAGTCTACTTCCTTCCTTTATATAAAGTTTTTTAAAATGCTAGACTATTGTCTGTCCTATCTTTGTACCAGTCTCTCAAATAGGCAGTTCTTGCTTGTGAACTCACCAGGAGAAAATCATTGTTGTTCCACGCTAATTTTTGAGATATCCGATACAGTACTAGATGCACCCCTGAGGTCTAGAGGGTCATCTTCAGTGGGGATTTTTGTCTTGCCCACATTTTAGATAAGACTCCTCAACCAGAAATATGTTTGTTAATTTGGGATGTAGTGAGCTGCCTTCTGATAAAGAGGCTGGTGAGGCAGGAGAACAGAAGTTGTCTTAGCATGTATTTGATTTCTGGCTACACATAAAGACGAGATTTTGAGGAACTCATTAGGAGTGCTCTCAGATCAACCAGACCTTGCCTGGGGGCGGGGGGAGATTTATAATCTAAAGCTGAAATGACATTTCCAGTTGAACATGTTCAAATCTCATTTTACATTTACATTAACTAGTCACCTTTGGGTGTAAAATTTCAAAACATTAATGAAGTTTTACCATACCAATAAAAGTCAGAACTTCCAGGATTAGAGATTTAAAAAAAAAAAAAGAAAGAAAGAAAAGGAAAATCAAAATTAAGCAACAAGAGAGCAATAATATATATTATGAAAGCAAATTAACATAAAACAGATGAAAATCTATGAATTGTGACTCTACTGTTATCTATGTAAATGTCATTAAAATATTCCTTTGAGAACCACCACTAATTTCTTAAATTTTTCTCTCAAAGTGAATGTAAATTGCCAAGAGTCAATTGTGTCTTTTTTTATAAGAGGTCTTGAGAAGTTAGCTATGTGTAAGTAAACAGAGCCTACTAATATAGACAAACCAAAACAAGAGGTATTTGTGAGTTCTCGGTGCTGGGTCCACGTCCTCCAGTCTGTTACTTTTCTTGGTAACAGACTTGGTTTTGGTCCCAGGAAGGACTGAATAAATATATTAACTTCACTTCCAAAGCTCATGGTACCCAAGACTATTGGTGTAAGTTTTCAGCCTTGGACTAATGATGTTAGTAAATGAAAAATTCAAAACTTGGATATTTTACACATGCTCATGACATGCAAACAGCTGTATTGAAGGCAGAATGCCACTTGTACCTTTGAGAATAGATGTTGAAAAACAAGTAGGTTTCATGAACTCCTTTCTTATTATTTGCGTTACATTTGGTGATATTTGACAAAAGTGGCACACAATCTTGTACCTTATGTTACTCAGCACCTTTTAATTCTAAGTTTGTTTGTTTTAGGAAACAACAGCCTGGGTTTTTTGCTTTTCTTTTGCCTATCTATAAACCACAATTGCTTATTGTTGAAAGAGAAGTCTCCTTTCTTGTTATTTTCTAAATCCATTACGTTTGCCATTAGCAGAGCCTTTTGAGTTTAGTGAAATCCTTCTTGAATCTTTAATAGAAAAATCAGTAAAGTGAACTCTGTTCCCCAAATTAAACTTTCCCAAATAAGATGATGTGAGTAAGAGGGCTTTTTTCTCGGTAGCCTTTGACTGCTTAGAATCATAGTGTTGGAAATGATCTTTCGTGGAGATCGTATAATCCAACATTTCCTTTTTGTTTTTAGATTTGTGTTTGTACATACATATATTAAAAATATTTTAAAATAGGACCTAATTATTTCTGGATCTTATCCTTAGAGCTGTTAAGAGCAAGAGTCCCTCTGGAATAAACAATGTTTATAGTATTTCTTATTGATATTTTCTTCAAACTTCTTTATGCTAAGTTGATAAAGGTAGCACTTTTCCATTAAGGTGGAGAGATTTAATTCCTTTTCTACCCCTAAAAAAGTTAGGAATTGTGTAAATTTCCTTTTTTACATACTAAACTGTTTGGGAATCTCCTAAGAAAATGCCAGTGAAGTTTTTCCTATTATATCAACGTGAGCCTCGGTGATTTTTTTTCCCCCATTCATTATTGATATCGTATTTTAAAAGTCAGTGGGTAAGAAACGTTTATAGAGGGACTTCTCATTAATAGCCAAAAGTTTAGGTATAGTACATAAATGGGAATTGTTTTTTGGGCTTTTTTGTAATTTTATTTATGTATGTACATATGTATGTATGTATGGCTGCGTTGGGTCTTCGTTGCTGTGCGTGGGCTTTCTCTAGTTGCGCCGAGTGGGGCTACTCTTTGAGCTCAGTAGTTGTGGTGCACGGGCTTAGTTGCTCCGTGGCATGTGGGATCTTCCTGGACCAGGGATCGAACCTGCGTCCCCTGCATTGGCAGGCGGATTCTTAACCACTGCGCCAGCAGGGAAGTCCCGAGAATTGTTAATTTTTAGAAAAAAAAAATAAAATTACCTCAACAGTGTGAATCAATCTCAGAAGCATAATTTTGAGTGAAAGATGCCAGATGTAAAAAGTACGTATCATATGATTCCATTTGTATAAAGTTCCAAAGTGAGCAATACTAATCCAAGCCATTAGAGGTCAGGATCTTGGTTCTCTGAGGAGGGAGAAGTGACTGGAGGGAACCTGAGGGGGCTTCTGGAGTTTTGGTACGTGATTTTGTGATTTGAGTTTCATTACGTAAATTTATTTTGTAGAAATTCAGTAAGTTTGTACAATTTTCCATTCGTATGTTATACTTCAATAAAAAGTATCCATTAAAGTCAAGAGCTTCAATTAAATGGAAAATAATGTACCTACTGTGTGTTTATTTAGTTGGAGATGAAGGACAGAAAGCCAGGAAGAGCAAACAGGAGGCATTTCCAACACTGGAGACTGTGTTCACAAAACTTCAACTCCTTTCATATTTTGATCAACATCAAGTGACATCTCAGGTAGCCATTAAAGCTGTTTTATTACGCATTTGGGATATTTCCTTAAAAATCTTTTTCATGCAATATATGTTTTTGGCTTTACTTGTTTTATAAATACATTTTTTAAACATATTTGGAAGCGTCTTAAACTATCAAGCAGTTCAGTTTTAAGTGTCAGGTTGCCTTCCTCAGAGGAATTAATTTTTATCATGGAAATATTTTTACCGTATGATAATAATCAACACTATATAAAATAATCTATCATGCAGTACTTATATTATTACATTTTAGTCCTGCATTGCTATCGATAAGGGAGAAATCTGTTGATGACTGAAGAAAAATTACTATGCCATTGAGAAGAAACCAAATCTATTTTCTTTTACAAATCCATTGATAGTCAAGTAGATGTCATCTGGAAATTAATTTAGCATTTATTGTTGTTCTACCTTTAGGGGAGTTGGGTGTAGATCTGAATGACAACTCAGCTTATTTATTTCTTCAAATTATAGTTGTTTTAAGGATATTATTGCATGTGTACATGGTTTTGTTTTCTGTAGAAGTATGTTTCAACTTCTAAGTAGAATCACGTATAAATTCACGTTTCTTACCTAAAAAATGGAAGTAATTTAATAAATAAAAGTTATTTGGACTGTTGGTCTTATGATTAGTCACTTTTTTTTTTTTTTTTTTTTTTTTTTGCACAGATCTCTAACAATGTGCTGGAACAAATCACAAGCTTTGCATCAGGAACATCGTACCATCTCCCATTGGCTCACCATATTCAGCTCATCTTTGATCTCATGGAGCCAGCACTGAATATCAATGGCCTCATTGACTTTGCAATACAGGTGTCAAAGGGATCCTGCTTCTCTCTTGTTTCACAAGGCAAACCTACTAGGCAGTGTACAGTTTAAAATGAGCCACCCAGTGCATTTTTGAATAGTTGAAACATTCTGAGTCAACAGTATTCAACTAGCATTTTCAACCAGCATTTTAATTGCATCTGTGTTCATAATTTTCAACTAAGTTATTATAATTTGTGCTAAAATATAGTAATAGTCACTTTAAAACGTGAGAGCTTTGAGGGTATTTCTTGTTTGTCTTTTGTTTTTTGCTTAGGGAAAGGTGAAAGTTTGTTTGCTATTTATAGTAGAGTATATTTTAGGGAAGAGCAAAAAATATGAAACATTATTAATTTGTTCCACTATTTTTCTTATACACATACTTGAGTTCATTTGTTACGTCACTAGTGAGTAGACATAAAACTTGGTTTCTTTTACTTATTCTATTGGAGGTGTTAGCTTTGTTAATAATAAGAAAATGCTGATAAATAACTTCCATTTATTGAAAAGGAGGGGAAAGTGGAAAAAAAGTCAGAGGTGGGGATGTTCTTCTCTGAAATTATCCAATCCAGAACTTTGGACCACCATAAAATTTTGATAACTGTTTCAGTATTGGTTACCTGTCGATTGCATGCACCATGATGCCCAGACAGAAGGAAAACTCTATAATTTGATAAAGTATTAAAAATAAAAACCAGTTAATTCACTGGGGTGCTGAGACTGTGGTTGTATATGTGCATGTTCCTGGGGCAGAACAAGGAAGGAGATCAAGTAGTTTTAGAATGACTCAATATATCCGTGGTTTGTAAAAATAAACGTCCTTCCTATTTGTTTTGGCAGCTACATTTTTCTTCGATCTTTTCTCCCATTGTAGCTCCTGAATGAACTGAGTGTTGTGGAAGCCGAACTGCTCCTGAAATCCTCCAGCCTGGCAGGAAGTTACACAACGGGACTGTGTGTCTGCATTGTGGCCGTTCTCAGGCGATACCACAGTTGTCTGATCCTGAATCCCGATCAGACGGCCCAGGTGTTTGAAGGGTTGGTATACCCTAGAATGTGTAATTTGTGATGAAATATGATAGTGGTTTGAAGACAGAAATAGTACTGTTTGTTTCATAGAAAGGTATAACACAGTTAAGGAATGCTTGTGCCAGGAAGCGTTTATCGGAAAGGAGATAAAAGCATGAAAAGTCCGCCTGCCTGCCTGGCTACTTTGCTCCCCCTAGTTGCTGTCATTTCTGCTACCCAGCATCCTGGCTTATTACGGATGGTGAATAAGTGACTGCTTCTTTGCTCATGTAATTTCAGTTTCTATTTGGAGAACCCAACGCCAAATAAGCTTTGCACGTACATCATCTTATAGATTTACCTTTTCAATTTTATTTCTTTTATAAATTAAAGGAAATTTTTGACAAGGGTTAATCTAGAATAAATGACTTTTTTGATTCTTAGTCTTTTTCCGGTTTGTGTGAATTGTAGGCTAAGGTTTTCTCTACTACTGTTAGGGAAGTTGGGCGAAGTAATTACATCACCCCCATGAAATGAGGCCAGGGCTACTGGGACCAGAGAAGTATAATGAGCTGTCAGAAAACCTATTCTGAGCTCCTTTTCGTCCACTGCAGACTCCTTTCTCCAGAGCTTTACATACTTAAAAGAAAGGCAACCCTCCTGGGCTCAAAAGAAACATGGGGTTCACAGTGCCTTTTTTTGGTAACCTAGCACATGTAATCAACACGTACTCTATTCTAGAGTGTCATCCATTTAACAGCAGCTTTTTAGGAGAAGAGGAAAAGCTGCCACGTTAATTCTACACACATAGATTTATTTTTTTTTAATTTGGATATTTTTTTTATAATATTCTTAATGGTCTCAAAGATGTTTCTGTAATAAACATGTAAATCAATAACCATAACCAAATTAAATCCAATTATTGTTACATTCAGTTTGTAAAAGAGGCTGTCTCTTAATTCTATGTGCTTTTCTTTAACTGCATTTCCTAAGATGAAACATTTTTACTTTGTAATCTTGGGGGAGAAATACATTCTTCTTTTTTTTATTAAAAAAAATTTTTTTTAACATCTTTATTGGAGTATAATTGCTTTACAATGTTGAGTTAGTTTCTGCTGTATAACAAAGTGAGTCAGCTATACGTATACATGTATCCCCATATCCCCTCCCTCTTGCGTCTCCCTCTCACCCTCCCTATCGCACCCCTCTAGGTGGTCACACAGCACCGAGCTGATCTCCCAGTGTGATGCAGCTGCTTCCCACTAGCTATCTATTTTACATTTGGTAGTGTATATATGTCCACGCCACTCTCTCACTTTGTCCCAGCTTACCCTTCCCCCTCCCTGTGTCCTCTAGTCCATTCTCTACGTCTGCGTCTTTATTCCTGTCCTGCCCCTAGGTTCGTCAGAACCATTTTTTTTTTTTTTTTTTTAGATTCCATCTATATGTGCTAGCATACGGTATTTGTTTTTCTCTTTCTGACTTACTTCACTCTGTATAACACACTCTAGGTCCATCCACCTCACTACAAATAACTCAGTTTTGTTTCTTTTTATGGCTGAGTAATATTCCATTGTGTTTATGTGCCACATCTTCTTTATCCATTCATCTGTCGATGGACACTTAGTTTGCTTCCATCTCCGGGCTATTGTAAATAGAGCTGCAATGAACATTGTGGTGCATGACTCTTTTTGAATTATGGTTTTCTCAGGGTACATGCCCAGTAGTGGGGTTGCTGGGCCATAGAGAAATACATTCTTGACTTCAGCTTTTAGCCTTAAGTAGCACTTATGCCCTTAAACTTTTGCTAACATTGAGCTTGATTTAAGTTTATTATTTCTATGCCTCTTCTCTATTTACACCCTTCCTCACCTAACAAATATTATCTTATCACTTGAAGGCACCTCATTTAATATTTTCCTAATCTTTCCTTCTACCTTGTCTCTCCTATTCTTGGTTCTTTCTTCAATTTTTTTCTCTGACATCAGAAGTTAGCAGACTTCTTTCTGTATCGAGCCAGATAGTAAATATTTTAGCTTTTGTGGACCATAAGCTTTCTCTTCATATGAGAGCATAGCCACAGACTTAGCCACACACTTAGATTATTACTAAGTGACATCTGAAACATCCCTGACATTTTTAAATGTAAGGAAATGACCATCTTAGAATCCAGGAAATATAGAACTGTTTTATAGCCCTCCACTGCCCTGTAGGGTTGAATGATTAGTACCATTTTATAAGTCAAGAAATGGAAACCCGGGCCTGTTAAGTGGAGTGGAAGGTGAAGTGATGTACCCAACATCAGATAGCTAATAAATCTCCCAGATTGCTAAAAGTCTTTCTAACTAGGAGCTCATTCATGCTGTTTGATTTGTACCATACTTTTTAAAACTGTGTATGGAACCATCTCTAGTTGGTCACGAAATGAATATAATAGGTTTTCACAAGTATTTTTTTGTTTTTGTTTGTTATTTTAGAATTTATTTCATTATCATTTATTTTGACATTTTAAATTTGTGTTCTAGTAAATGTTCATAAAATCATATTTGGTATTCAGTTTATTATATTTGTTCTCTATCATGTACAGTAAGGATAAGTATTTTCCCCAAAACTATTATTTGGGGTTTTTTTCTTTTTCTTTTTCTTTCTTTTTGCACTTACATGAATAAACATTTTGGATCTCAACGTAAAATGTTTTTCTTACCTCGAGTAAGTGAAAAAATTATTGAGGAAACAAACACCCAGTATTTACTGCGATACAGTAAATGCCTAGCAAACTTTCAATAAATGTTTGTTTAATCACAAAATAATTCTTTGCTTTTCAGGGTATACCTGGAATTTTTTGGTTTATATAGGTAACAACTGATTGAGTCATCAACTTTTCTCCTTAACTGGGGGACAGTTTTGCTATAATTGACAGCCTTTATCAGTTGCCTGCATCTGCTGATGTCAGTTCACAGGCCTTGGGATGCTACATGGCTGTCTCTTTGCATAGTTTCCTAGGTCCCATCTCTGATGTTTGTGACTCCAGTGTCCTCCTCAGCCTTGACATGCTAGGCTCCCTCCCGTCCCCTAAACAGTGGAGAGGGCTCCAGACTGGGGTTCTGGAGACCTAAGTTCTCCTTTTGGATCTGCTGTGAAGTCGCTCTCTGCCTTGTGGGCAAAGATACATCAGCTTTCTGAGGCTCAGAGCCCTCTTTGTGAAATGAGGAAGGTGAATCAGATGATTTCTAAAGCCCTTTTCCGCTTTAATAATCTGAGTCGTCTGTGACACCGTTGTAGTAGTACCGAACCCTGTAACCAGAATGCAAGATGACAGTGGAATCAGACTCACAGATAGGTGGATGGACCACTAGTGTTTACTTCTGTGTGGTATGAACTTTCGTTCTGTGTGAATTGTGGCCCAAAAGGCCATCTTTCTGATCTGGGGAACTGGAGTAGTAGTGGTACTTCTGAACCACAAGTCTTATGGAGAATGTCACTAAAAAAAAAGGGGTCTTAAATTCTTATTAAGATAAACTAAAATAAATTTGTTTCTAGTTTGGAAGAACAAGGAGAATGTGACCTCCAGCCATGAATTCTTCAAGTTCATGCCAGAACCAGCTCATGGTCTTGAAAACAGATTTCCCAGACTTACTGATATGAAGAAATTGCCCTTTTACATAGTGGACATGGGGCCCTTGGCAAAGTTCCAGAATTTGTCAGTCTTCTCACTGATGAGGGATTCTCTCCTACAACTTTTGTGTCCTAGTCACAGCAGCTTTATTGGTGGATTCCTCCCTACGTATCTTCTGTACGGAGGAATTTCTTTCATTTCTTAATGTTAATGGCATTTCTGAAGTTTTAAAGAAATATTTAGTGTTTCAATATCATAGCAGAAAACTGATACTTTATGCAGTTATTTACTTGGTATAATGGTTACTGTTAACAACCTGGTATCTTTTTTTCTTACTTGAGTATTACATGGACACATTCTCACTCTAAAAGATCCAAGCGCTAACACGTATATTAGCCAAGTGTCTCATTTCTTCATATATTTTTCTCCTCAGGTTGTGTGGTGTGGTAAAGCATGTGGTGAACCCCTCAGAATGTTCTTCCCCAGAAAGATGCATCTTAGCCTACCTCTACGATCTCTATGTGTCATGTAGCCACCTCAGAAGTAAATTTGGAGACCTCTTCAGGTGGGTGGAAGAAAGTCAAAAGAATAGGAATAGGATTGTGCCTATATTTGTTTGTGTACCAAACTGTCATCCGTTTGAATAATGAAAGTTAATCCTAATTATATCTGCCAGAATGCGTACTGAATTATCTTTCACTGTAGCTCTAACCTCCTGTTCCAAATCACTATGCATGTTTGGCTCTGATTGCAGTTTTAATATAAGAGAAAACGTTCTGTATTTTGAAGTTGCGGTTACCTCTCTTGGAACATTGTCTCCCCACTGTTCGCATACCTACTTTCTCCCTGCGTTTGCTTCTCTGACTCCTTGAACTTCCTGCTTCACAGAGCATCTCTGACTCCCTGTCATTCTCTGCACCTTAGCACTTGTACCTGCGACAGGTAGACAGGTGCTGGAGACTCTGTACTTCCGTAATGGTGTTTGAGGAAATTTAGGTGATTAACTGTAAGTTGGGGGAGGGAAGGGGGCAGTAGTAACTGGCAGAATAAATTTGGAATCTGGAAGCAGGCAAGGAAAGAATAGTCAATTACAGTTTTCTTTGTTCTCTTGTATCTTGCATCCAGCTTGTTCGTAAATCCTATGAACTCTGCCTTCCAGGTACATCTAGAATCTGACCACCCTTCATTGCTTGGCAGCTACCACTGTGCTCCTCTCTTGGTTGGACCATCGTAGTGTCCTTCTAACTCGTTTCTCTGCTTGCACCCTTGACTCTCTTAAGTGTATTCTCAACATGTCTTCAGAAGTTATCCTTTTGAAACAAGAATAACTTGAAGTTTTCCAGTGGCTTCTCATATCTACTCAGAATAGAATTCAAAGTCCTTACCTAGCCTTTAGGATCTACTGGATCCAGTCCTGTCTTCCACCACTTTCTCTCTGTCCATTCTAATCACATGGACGTCTGTATTGGTCTCCCAACACTCTAAGCACACTCCCACCTTGGGGCCTTTGCACTTGCTGTCACCTCTCTTGTGATGCTCCCTCACACGGTTCGTTCAGGGCTCTATCTCCCTGACCACCGCAT